ATCTTTGCAGTATGGTGATGACACATCTTTGCAGTATGGTGATGACACATCTTTGCAGCCAGTCTATGGGTGATGACACATCTTTGCAGTTATGGTGATGACACATCTTTGCAGTATACGTTTGATGGCAACATCTTCTGCAGTATGGCTTGATGACAATCTTTGCAGTATGGTGATGGCACATCTTTTGCAGTATGAGTTGATGACACATCCTTTGCAGTATGGTGAATATGCAACAACAGGAGGACCTGGATTTACATACTAGGAGGTGCATGTAAGATAAAACTTCGTGCGGAGGTGCATAATAGATAGATTAGATAGGATGGGTGAGGAAGGAGGAAGGGAGGGAGAGAGGAGAGAGAGAAGGGAGGAGAGGAGATGCGAGAGCTGAGAGAGATGAGACTGAGGAGAAGCCGGTATCCGGATCGCCGGCCGCCACATCACCCAACAGGGCTCGTCATCTAGTTAGCCATTCCGCTTTCATCGCACGACCAGCTTCTCGTGCTCCCACTTGTAGTTGGTCTGATAACGCGCCTGCCACCCGTTCGCGGCCCGCGCTCGCCTTCCGACAGGAGATCTCTCCCCCAAAAAAGCGCACGGACGGAGATCGCATAAGTGCGGAGAACGGGAACTCGAGAAATCGAGAGGACGCTCAAGAACACATGAGAGGGGACCAGGCCTTGAGAACGTCGCAGGAGACACTGCACGGTGATGTGATTGAACATAGGAGCAATGGCTATAGGACGAGTAGAGAGAGAGAGAGAGAGAGATGAGAGAGTAAGCATGAGAGTGAGAGAGGGGGAAGGAGAGAGAGAGAGAGAAAGAGGACCAAGAGGAGACAGACAGACAAGACAGACAACCAACACATTAGGACAAGATAACAGGAAGAAAGAGAGAGAGAGAGACAAAGACAGAGGAGATAGACAGAAGTTTTTAAAACAGAAGGCGAGACAGAGACAGAGACAGCAACAGATGATTAGGCAAGAAGAACAGATTTTAAAAAAACAGAAACAAAAGACAATAGACCAAGAGCGAAAACCAAAACCAGAGAATCAGAGACCCAAATGAGGACAAGAGGGCGAGCGAACCCAGCAGATGTAGGAAGGAAAGCGGGCAGAGAAGAAGGAGGGAA